ATGTTAGAACAAGAGAAAGGGAGACTACAATGTTTCAAAGTTCCAAATCAGTTACAATAAATACAAGTTATATCAATGCATTCACCAACAAGGATTAAAAACCTGCAGAATAAGAATTCTTGGTAAATCCCCAAGAACATTTTCTTTGGAGATCACAAGGATGAAAACAGCTTACAATGCTGTCTTGGGAGATAACTTCCTTTGAAAAGAGAGTAACAACCCTTGAGGCATTTCAGTAAATGGGATCTAAGGCCTCAGAGGATAGCTGGCTAATGACATATATATGTAGTGAGTCAGAGGCAGGATGGTCTTAAAAACTGGATGTGTCTGGGCACATACTATATTAGAAATAAAAATGAGTGGAGTGTCTAAAAAGACTAGGAAGTGGTATGATGAAACTAAAAGAGGGATATTTCCCTTTTTTAAAACTGCTCTTTCTGATGTAACCTACTTTGCAGGTTCTTCAATACTCTTCCTCCACAGGCATTACTATGATGAATGTGGTAGAGTTATAAAGACGTTATTGGTAAAGAGCGAACAACCCCCTTTAGAAGAATTATCCATAGGTAATTGAGTACAATTTCTATTAATTTGTGGAAAGACAGTCTCTAAAGTAGTATAGTTCTCAAATAGTAGCTTAAAAGAATCACTATGGAATTTGTTGGAAATGCAAATTCTCAGGCTCTACTTCGGGGCCGACTGAAGCTGAAACTCTGGGGATGGGGCCAGAAATCTGTGTTGTAACAAGTTTTCCAGGTGATTCTGCTTTATTACCTTAAGGTAGTAAAATGATTATTATTTACTGCCAATGTTTTCAAGATTTTTTTTTCCTTTTTCAAATAACAGTTAACTTTTAGAAGTTGGGAAAATGTAGTAATAAAAAGATGACATAAGACAAGTATTGCTTTAATATATCTTCCTAAAAAGAATATGTTGCTATAAAAATAATTCTGTATTTGGCATTTTTGGTGCACCCGTTTCAGCAAGGGGTAGGGGTCTATTTTATGCAAAGTGAAATCACTTCCTTTAGGATAAGGATTCCTGCAGTCCTTCACAGATGGTCTACATATTTCCATAGGATTATCTCTATTCTGAATTTGTTTGTCATTTGTCTCATCTATATAGGCTTGTTATGACAAAATGTCATCTTGACCAAAGAAAATATTTTTCTAAAAATCTTTGAAAAAAGATCAAAGATATTGACACAAGGCTTTAAATAGATTGTCTCATGTCATGCACATGTTGGAAAACTGTAAGATTTTCCTGGAAAGAAAATGTTTAAATAATGTCTTATTAATTTATTTCTCTCAATAGGTAGAAAAAATTTTCCTCCAAAATCCTGTGGTAGGTGTTATGTTCAACTTTTTAAGTTGAACATTTTTATTTTATGTTCAACTGCTATCCAATGTGGTTGTACCATCTTATATTTCACCAGCAGTTTATGAGGATTCAAACTGCTCCCTGTTTTCTTTTTTTCCCCCTAATGATTATTTATTTATTTATACAAGCACTGGGTACAGTGAGAAGCGCGGGAGGGTGAGAGAATTCACCAGAGCCAGAGCTGGGAGCAGAACTGGCAGAGTGATGAAATACACTGCTGAGGGGAGCAGCAGATGCAGCAGGAGAGATCTGTCGCCCCATGTGGGACCCTCACAGGCCGGCCGGGATTGAACAGGCACTGCAGAGGCTGCAGGCAGCTTCGCAGCCCAGTGCTCAACTGCTGCGCCACCAGGGGAGGCCTCTGCTCCCTGTTTTCACTAATACCTAGTATAGTGGTATGAAGCTTGATGTGATATCCATTCTATTAGGACTCATGGTAATTTTGATTTGTATTTTCCCACTAACTAATGTGTTGACTGTCCTTTCATGTGTTTATTTATGATTTGTATCTTCTGCTCCAATCATTCCACTCCCTTTTTATTTCAAAAGAAGTAAAAACACACCTTCATACAAAGTCTTGGATCCTTGCTATGGGCTGAATTATGTCTCTTTCAAATCTATATGTTGAAACTCTAACCTCCATTGTGACTGTATGTGGAGATAGAGTAGATAAGGTAGTAATTTTAAGGATCATAAGGGTAGGACCTTGATACAATGATAGGTTTAGTGTCTTTATGGGAAGAGACACCAGAGTTAATGCTCTTCACACTCTCAACAAAAGGAAGCCATTGTGAGCATATAGGGGCTGGCAGCCACCTGTAAACTAGGAAGAGAGGTTTCACCAGAAACCCGCCCGACTTGCACCCTGATCTGACTTCAGCCTTTAGAAACGTGAGAAAATTAGTGTCTTCTTGTTTAAGTCACTCAGTCTATAGTATTTTGTTATGGCAGTCTGACCGACTACAAAATCCTCACAGATTTTGTTATATTTGTATTATTTGTAAAATCAAAAACTGGAGACTACACAAATTGTGGTATATGCATATAAAAAGAATACTGTCCAGCAATACAAATGAATGAACTACTGATAAAGAAAACATGAATAGAACTCTATGCCAAGTAAAACAAATGAGTACCCCCACAAAAGAGTTGACACTATATTCCATTTACATAAAAGTCTAGAAAATGCACATAACCTATACCAACAAGCAGACCTGTGATTGTCTGTGAGGTGAGGTGTGATGGAGAGGAAGAGATTACAAAGGTATAGAAGCAAACTAGGGGACAATGGATATATTTTCTAGTTTGATTATGGCAAATGGCTTATGGGTGTATACATATGTCAAAAGTTATCAAATTGTAACTTTAAATATATGCAGTTTGTTATATGCAAATTTTATAGTCCATTAAGGATATTTAAAAATACTTGAAAAATCCTTTTTATTCCCCTAGGAAATTATTTCCAGGAAACTCTAATTCTGTGACCAATGGATTTTTTTCTTTCCAGTTTCTGACTTAAAAAAAGGGGAAAAAAATGCATCTTTCAGAAAAGGCTGTTAAATGCAGGGGTCTTTATGGCTTTGTACCTTCCCTTGTGTGAATGGAAGCGCTGCCCCACCCACCCCAAGGGGAAAACCAAACACAAAATCAAAGGGCATAAATCAGGTGCTAGCTGTAGAACAAATAGACTTGAACCTTATTTTTTGTTTCTGCAAGCTTAGGTGGCTCTATTGAATATTGTGGTAAAGAATGAAATCTGTTAGGAAATCTTTCAATCACATTTGGTTATTTTCAAGACAGCTTTCACAAGTCGCTAAAAATCCAGAGTAATAAGTTTCCAGCTCATGTCAGGCAAAACTTTGACATTAATACTCAAAGTTGGGCAGAGACTTTGATTAGAAATTCAAATCCTGCCTCAATTTCACAGAAAGCTTGGAAGATAAAACAGGGTTTGATTCACATTTTTAAGTAAAGTTTATATCCAACATGCGGGTTTAGATTGCGCTTTGCGGGTGGGGGGCGTCGTGTTCAGATGCGACTGCTGTATAGCAGGAAAGAGGCTTCACTGACCAGGGTCAATACTGTCCAAAGTTGCAGAATTGTTCATTTCCATTCTATTGTGCTGTTGATGCCAGTTGAAAACAAGATAAGATGGGTTTTAAGCGAATGTTTTGAGTTTTGGCGACCTCTTGCCAATACTTACTACAAAGTGGAGACATTTTCTGGAGGTCCTACCGCCAGCCCAGCTCTGTGTCCTCCTCTTGTGAGTTCTTTAACTGCGACTCGCACGAACTCGCTACGGTTTCCCAGATGGGGAGCGCTGAGCTGGAGAGCGCCGAGAGCACCTGCTCCGAGCCTCAGCGCGGTCGTGCTTCACCGCAACGCAGCCGCCGCGGCCGGGGCACCGACAGGAGGACCCAGCAGGGGTCACTGCAGCCTCAGCGCTATTGTGCTCGCCAGTCTGGACAGGGCCGGCGCGCGGAGGGCGTGGGACTCGGAGCTCCGAAAGCCGGGGTCCGAGCGGAGCTGCGCCCTGCCCTGCGCGAGCCAGCCTCCCGGTCTCCCGGGACACGGGCCCAGGCTGCGGAGCCAGGGCTCCAGAAGCCGGGCGGCTCCGCGGAGCGCTCGGTCTCCCCCGCAGACCTGCGGACACCGCGCCCTTTGACCATCTCAGCGCCGCTCTCCCGCCCCCGGCCGAGACCCGCGCGGAAAGGGCGCCCCTTCTCGGCCGCCGGCCCCGGCTTCCCTCCAGGGTGGTGTCTCTCCCCGCCCCCGCCCTTGCGGTCTCCGGGGCCGGCCCAGCTGCACCTGGGTTGCTCCCCGCCGGCGCCACCCGCTCCGCCGCCAGGAGAACTTTCCCGGAGCCGCCGCGGCCCGCCGCGCCCGGCACCCCCGCCCGCCCGTCCTCCGCCTTCCCAACTCGGGCGCCCGCCGCACGCCAGCCCGCAAGCCCTCCGCCGCCCGGCGCGCCTGACTCTCCCGGAGACGCAGAATTCCACCGCGGGGGCCGGGCGGGCTCGGGGCGAGAGCTTGAACTTGGCCCCCGCCCCGAGGCCGGAGGTCCGCGGACGCGAACCGCGCCCCGCGCCGAGCTGAGCGCCCGCCGCCCGCCGGTAGGGAGCCCGCCGCCCCGCCGCCCTCCCCGGGCGCGGAGGGTGGGAAAGTGGGGCTGGGGTCGGTCCTGTCGCGGCCCCTCCAGTGGGGCGGGACGCCGCGGGTGCCCCGACACAAAGGCGCAGTCGCGCTCCCCCCGCTCGGCGGGTCGGGCCGGGCGCGGGGGCGAGGCGCGCGGGTCGGCGCCCGCGGGGGCTCGGGAGCGGGGGGCGCCGGTGCGTCGCGGGGGGAACGGACGGCGGAGCCTCTGGAGCCTTCCGGCGCGGGGGAGGGGTCGGCTCGCCTGTCTCTCGCTGCCGCACCGCCGCGCCGCTCCTGTCGTCCCCAGGACTGCGGAGGAGCCGGAGCCGCACGATGCGCGGGGACGCGCCGCCGCCCTCCGCGTCCAGTTCCGCCCGCGCTGCCGCGGGGCCCGCCGGCCGCTGACGCTCCCACCGCGCCGCGCCGGGGGCTCCTGCCCGCGGGCCGGGCCGCGCCGGGAGCGGTTCCTCCAGCCCCGCGGCACCGGCGCCGACGGTGAATTAACGCCCAGCGCCTGAGGGGAGGCGAGCTCGGCGCCTGGGTCGCAGACTCCTCGCCCGGCTGGACGCGGCCGCAGCCACCATGGGCTGTTTCTGCGCTGTCCCCGAAGAATTCTACTGCGAAGTTTTGCTCCTGGATGAATCCAAGTTAACCCTCACCACCCAGCAGCAGGGCATCAAGGTAGGCGCGGGCCGGGGCTGTTCCAGGCGTCGGCGGCCGGGCGGGCCAGGGGGTCCTCGGCTTTGTCTGAGGCTGTCACTGCCCCCTGCGCCTTGGGAAGAAAAGCCAGACCCCCAGGTGCTCAGGGAGAGGGTGGCCGTGTCACGGTGGGTTAACGCTTGTGTCTTCAGAAAGGAAAGTAAGTTTGATGTCGCAAAGGTTGCTCCACACACCAGCTCTCAGCTGCAAGTCTTGGTGCTGCCGCGGAGCCCAGCGCTCTTCCCGCACCCGCAACCTCCAAACGCATCCAAGGTCCTTGCAGCCCCCAGAGTTGCAGAATTGATCGAACGGGTTGCCAGCAGTGTTGAAGGCACAGTTTCCCTTAGCTTTGTGGACGGCGTTTTCGTGATAAATTATTGGGGAAGTAACACTTTTGTTGGGTGATTGTGGTTGTGTTGCCTGATTTTGTGGTGGAGTAGGTGCTACCTTTCCACAAGCCAGTTGGTTTCATCGCCACATTTAAGTAAACAGCTCGCAGAGCGATTTGGTTATAGCCTCGCGCCTGTTCGTATGTCATTAAAATGCAATTATTACCATTAACCTAGAGAACCCCCCCCCCAAAAGGCTGTGGGAGTTGCAGAGAACCACTTTCTTAATTTTGATGAGTTCTTATGTTTGTAATTGACAACTTTACTTGGTTTGTTTTGCTGTAGCAACAAATGATTACCTAGAGAACAACGGAATCCACATTGTTTGGTTGTTTTGTTTCTCTTTCTCCTTAAGTTTAAAATCACTTGGGCATTTTAGATAACTTAACATTTGAGGCTGATTAATTGAACCCGGCTCCTTTGCCCCCAAGAGAGCTGGGCATCCGAGACATCAAGTTCATATTGCCAAGTGACCTCGCCTGGTCTTGTCATCTCAAAAGTTAATCCTGTTGGCACAGGCCCTGGGCCTTTCGTTCTGTGAATCAGTTTTTACATGGTTGTATGCAAGCTAAAGCAACTGTTCCTGGCTAAAAGCTTAGGCTTTGATGTTACCATTCTTGGTGTACAGAATTCTAATTTCACAGGTGTCATTGTTTTGCATGACAAAAGGAGCAAAAGTAATTATAAGTTAACTCCTTCTTTAGGAAATTGTTTTAAATGTTGTTTTCTCGGAAATTATAATAAGCAAAAGTCAATCCTATTCTCATTTGATGTTTCTTTTGGGTAGTTTATTTTATATTTTCTGCATGCGCCCCCCCCCCATGAAACAGGAAAAGAACTTACTTTACAAAGAATGTGTAAATGCACATTTTTTGGTATAATGTGCAAATAGGCACAATTAAAAAAAACAAATTTTTGATACTACATAGATTCCCTTTGACTTGGGGGGATAGAAACTATTAGAAAAGGGTAAGTGATGATCTAATATCAGAATGTCAAAGAAATCTTCCTGATGTGCAAAGTCTAAAAGTCATCTGGACTTCAAGCTTCCTATTTAATAATGAAAACCATGTCCCTGTCAGCTGAGGAGCATGTACATTATTCTGTCAAGAGAGCAGCGAAGTACTTGGGATCGAATTAAATAATTTTATCAAAAGAAATTCAAAAATCATGATCCATAATTACTTTTTGTAACCTGACAGTGCTTATCATGTTTTACAAATAGGTTGAAAATTGGTGAGTGATACAAAGGCAATAGTAACTTTATAATGCTGTTATTTTGAATGGATATCATTCAGCTAAACAACAATTTGAGCAGACTTGTGTTGGAAGTAATAATTTTGCAACAGGTTTTAGCCTCTTTTAGTGTCATGAAAACATGCACAATTATTTTGATGGCCATGAGTGTAACTCTGATGTGTGCCACATTATCTGTAACTAACTATTTACTTGAGGTATGCACTAAATTAAACACATTCATTTATAAATGGAATAATGTATGAACAGCATCTTCCCTTGACTGTTTTGAAAAAAAAAGTAGCATATTACAAATTAAAAACTTTGTTATGAAATGATTTTCTGCAGCTTAGATCAGAGTTTTTCACTGACTTTTTTTTTTTCCCCGAAAAAATTGATGTGTTTGTTCCCATGGAAAGCATTTTAACTTGAAGACAGTAGGCAGATCACATTTAAATGGGAAGTAATTTTCTGTTTAAAAAATAATCTGAAAAATAAAGTATCTTTTTGTTACTACCAAAGTTATGTGGAAATTAGCCTTAACTTGCTTTAGAGGTAACCTCACCTTGACAAGCAGGAAGTCTTTTGCATGCAGTTTGAGTTTGAGCCCTATCCAAAATTTAAAAACCCAAGTTTATATAAGCTGAATGCTATTGATTGTATGTTGAGTCCCACAATAGCTTTTAGCTGTTTCTTTTCTGCTTCTATCTATGTTGTTTATTTAAGTAGGAATTTCTGCTGTGGTTGGTCTCTTGGTTTTTTGAGCAATGTTTGTTCATGGGAATCTTTGTTACCTCCTTTGTAGTTAGTTCTCTGTGCTGGGGGAGGTAGAGCCTTTCTTTTTGTTCTCTTAGAAAGCAAAACTTGAATGTGGATCAGACTACTTTTTTAAGTTGTCTCTTGACTAGCCAAACATTTTCAGGGGAAAAAAAAAATCACAGGTTTTGTATATAAATTTGTCTCTCAAAATTGCTGCTGTTAATATGAACTAGGTAAATATTTTCACTTCAGCAAGATTTTAGTCCCCTGATAATGCAATAAGTGTTATCTGCCTACTGTCTTCAAGTTAAAATGCTTTCCATGGGAACAAACACATCAATTTTTTAAAAAAAAAGAGGTCAGTGAAAAACTCTGATCTAATTTTTTTTTTTCAAAAGTCAGGGGAAGATGCTGTTCATACATTATTCCATTTTTAAAAAAGATTTATTTATTTATTTATTTATACAAGCACTGGGTACTGTCAGAAGCGCAGAAGGGTGAGAGAATTCACCAGAGCCAAAGCAGGGAGCAGAGCAGGCAGAAGGACCGAAGTACACTGCTGAGGGGAGCAGCGGGCGGCAGGAGAGGTCTGCGTGCCACGTGGGACCCTCCTCTGGTGGCCTGGGAGCAGCCCGTGATCGAACCGGCACTGCAGAGGCTGCGGGCAGCTTCACAACCCAGCACTCAACTGCTGCGCCACCGGGGAGGTCCCATTACTCCATTTTTTTTTTTTTTAAAAGATTTATTTATTTATACAAGCACTGGGTACAGTCAAGCACAGGAGGGTGAGAGAATTCACCAGAGCCAGAGCGGGGAGCAGAGCAGGCAGAAGTACCGAAGCACACTGCTGAGGGGAGCAGCGGGCGGCAGGGGAGGTCTGCATGCCATGTGGGACCCTCCTCCGGTGGCCGGGGAGCAGCCGGGGATCAAACCGGCACTGCAGAGGCTGCAGGCAGCTTCGCAACCCAGCGCTCAACCGCTGCGCCACCAGGGGAAGCCCATCCCTCAGTATTTTAAAAAAAAAATGGTTAAAAGTATTTTTCAACTTTAGTGAGATGTAATTGAAAAAAAGGTAATATATTTAAAGTATACAATGTGATTGTTTGATCTACATATAAATTGTGAAAGGATCTCTGTCATCCTACCATCAGGTTAATTCACATATCTATTATTTTAAATAGTTCCTTTTTTGGACACTTCAATTCTTCTTTTCTAATAAATTTCATTTACACAATACTGGATTATTAGCTATAGTTACCATATTTTACATTAGGTCCATAGACCTTAAATGCCCCCTTTATTATACAAGCGTGTTTTTTTTTCTTAAAAAAATTACTAAAAATTCCTTTTATCAGTCATGGTTTGAGAGAGATTTAAAAATAATTTATCAGGGAAAGCATTGTTTATCATCTCCAGTGGTTGAGGCGTTCTTCCAGGTGCTTATGATTTTCTCAGTTGATGGATAATATATTTATCTAATATATATTAATACAATTTGTATATTAACACTGCTTAATTGTTAATGCAATTGTTCTTATTATTGTTAATTTTATTGTTCTTGAAATTCATGTGTTAAGCTTGAACTAACTTTGAACTGAACTTAATTAAACACAGAGATTTTACTGCTTTTGAGCTGGGATATGTCTTAGTGCATTCAGGCTGCTGTAACAAAATACCACAGACTGGGTGTGTGATAAACAATAGGAATTTATTTCTTATAGAGACTGGAAGTTTGAGATTAGGGTGCTAGCATGGTTGGGTAAGGCTCTTTTTAGGATTGAAAACTTCTTGGCAGAAGGGGTTAGGGAACTCTTGGCGTTATTTTATAAGGGCACTGAGTCAATTATGAGGCCTCTGCCCTTTAACCAGATCTCCCAAAGGCCCCTTCTCCTAATATCATCAGTTTGGGTGTTAAGTTTCCAGTATATGAATTTTGGAGAGGATGCAAACATTCAGGCCATAGCTGGTGGTAATAAAGTTAAATCTAATTTGTAGAGACAAAAGCTCCGACTCTGCTTTTCATTAGTCATATAGACAATGGTTTACTATTTTTATTAAGACACTGAAAAACAAGATGGGACGATGAGAAAAACAAGATTTTTTCTTTTCGGTTTGTGTCTGTTTGTATCTCAGAGTAGCGTCAGGCCGTTCTTTGTTGCGGGAGGTTATCTTGCCCACTGTAGGACATTTAGCAGCATTCCAAGCCTCACTCAGAGATGCTCGTAGAACTATCTCTTGTCCAATCTGCCAACCAGATATATTCCCAGATGTTGCCAAAAGGGAAAAACTACCTTCAGTTGAGAACCAGCGACATAGAGAATAGCAGCATGCTTTATTTTTATGTTTGCGTTCAGCCTTCTGCATTATATAGACTAGTTTTTTTAAATAAATATTCTATTGTTTTCTTAATTGGGAAATGTTTACTTATAACACTGTATGATTTAGGGATTTAGGTTCATACTTCTTCAGATGTATATTATCACACCACACACACCACCAAAACACCAGTAATCCTCCACCATAGTCCACTGGACCCCTTTCCACTCTTTGCTCCCCAGCTTCCCTCCCCCTCTCCTTCCTGCCTTGTTCTTGTAACCT